AGGGTTATATAATTTTTCCAAATTTTGATTTAGTAAATTCTTTTAAAATTTAATATGACTACAATAAAGATTGGGTTGAGCTTAGATTTTTGCCATGAAACATCATCAAGTGGGCCCCTGCCAAGCTTTAGTTTTTATTATAGCCCTGAAATCAAATTGGCTTCACTTCGTGAAGGGTCGGGTTTTTGCTTATTTGTATTTATTATAATCCTCGAAAATAAAAATAAGTTTTAAATGATACATCGTCCTCAGTCAATTAATAAATTTTAATGAAGCTCTACAGAAATCACAATTTGATGGTCCTTGACTAATACTGTTTAAAATGTTCTGGTTTGCTAACCAGATGGTGGCAAGATCTTAAAGACTTAAGCTTCGGGTGACCACACCTCTTTATCATGCTTCAGAATTATTATTGAATATCTACATGAACGTTCATAAGTTGGTCCTTTACAAAATTTGCTAAATGGTTGCATGCTCAATATGAAAATAGACTTTAATAACATCTAGTTTACCCCTTGGATGATTTTGGTAAAACTGAAATAAAAGGAATGTCCAGTCTATGTCGACCATATCACCTGGAGAGCGATGAATAGCCATCCTCGTCCTCTTGTTTGAATCTTATTTAGTACGTATATCCAAGTGGTTAAGATAAATGTGTTATATGAGTCGGCATAGATATAGTATAATTGCAGTCTGCTTGACACCAAATATGATAGCTATTTGAATAAGAAACCTTTCACTAGTTTCTTAGTACTTGTTTAATCCAAGAACAGATTGAGAGGGCGGACGGCATCTATTAGCTAAAAGCTTCCTTCTCAATTGAACAAAAAGCATCTGTATTGCATGAAGAAAGTAATATGAAAATATAATGCGAATATAAGTTATATATTTACACAGATTTGTGTGAATGTATTTATCGAGAAACGTTTATTCATTTTACGTTTATTTATTTGAAGTTATTCAAAAAATATAATTCTTTATTATCACTTTTCTAGTAAGGGAAATTTGAAATTAGTGAAACCTTTCTACAGATAATGAAAATATAATTGTTGTTGTATAAAACCGAAACAAAAGTTTAAGTTTAATTGTCAAGTTGGTAAACTTTTGTAATTATTTTGTATTTATTTCTGGAATATAGTAGAGCTTGATATTTAAAGTTTTATAAGCCTTTTGTAAAAGTGTCAATTATACATTTAACAACTTAATTTAAGGAACCGTATGTCAGTTAAACATTTTGTTGTACTTTAACAAAGCATATATCACCATATTTTACACCCACACGATACTTTAAATGGTAGTCAAGAGATTTTCAAACACAAATTGACAATTACCGTTTTTTGAAAACTATACTTGCATAGTTAAAGGTATTCTCAATTTTTAAAAATTATGTTCGTCGTATCTTTTATTTGCCATGTTTTATTGGGGTGTTTCTGCAAATACAATCATCACGGCCTAACGGGACGATAATTGTTTCGGACGAAGTCCGTCTGTTATCGATTTGACTTCCTGTAAAATTAACAAGGAAGGAATGAATATAAAAAGAATTTTCATTAGTCATTTTAAAATTACAAAATGAAATCGGTGAATCTCATTGGTCATTCAAAAATAAAATGTAAAGGTCAGTTCTAACCATTAAAAACATGTAAAGGATAATTCTTTCCATTCTAAAATAAAAATTTAAAGATAGTTCTATGATACAATGTAAGGGATACTTTTGTTAATATAAAATAAAATTTAAAGGATAGTTCTAAAATATAATTGAATGAAGATAGTTCTGTCAATTTTAGGTGAATTTGTAAATGATTACAAAATTTATAAAGTCAAATGGTAAACAAAAAAGGACACTTTAAATAAAGTTGTTCTCCTTTGAAAAATCATCAATATCAATATATCAGTAGTATCTACAAGAAATAATTATCATGTCATTGTAATGCAAGCATTGCTAACATTTCTTTCTGTATTGAAAACTTAAAAATAACATACTTTTGCATGATAAAAATATATACTTCGGTGGAGTATCTTTTTAAAAGACTCGTTTTGTTTTAGCTGAAACAAACCTCGATCTCACCCAGCCAGTTAATATATACCATCGTAACTTACTCGTTTCATATACTATTACTTTTACGTATATTAATTTTCAGCTTATTCACAATAACACTCAGCTTGTATTATTTACAAAAACATAAGCAAATCAAATATGCAAATATATATGAAAAGAAATAGGTCACTGTGATACTTAGGTATTGACAAAATGGGCCTTTAACTGTTCTTAATATTAAACTATCCTCTCCATTTTATTTTAGAATGACCAATGAGATTCACTTATTTTAGTTTACAATTTAAAATGACCAATGAAAATTCTTCTTATATTCAGTCCTTCTCTGTAAATTTTACAGGAAGACAAGCTGATAACAGACGGACTTCGTCCGAAAAGCAGGTTACTGCAATGCTTAAGTATTGAATTAATGGGCCTTTAACTGTTCTAGATATTAAACCCATTAATGAGGTTGCAAGTTGTTATGATTACTATCAATATGATGACTTCAGGCTATTCCATTGTCTATCTGTCTACCTGTGTACAGGTGGTTATTTGTTTGTTTGTTTGCTTGTTTGTTTGTTTGTTCAAATGAAGAAAGAACTCTTGACAACATCGAATCTAATTCCAATAATTAATATAAGCAAACGATAATTAAATATGCGGCAAAAATGTTATATCAATTTTGCTTTTATAAAGCAGTGTATATCTATTAAAAATTCATTAGAAAATGGCTTTATATCTATTCTTATAGAATAATATGTATCGTTAAAATATCAGAATGTATTTACTACAAGTACTGGTGTCCTAAGAGAAAGTAATGCCGTGGAAGAAAGAAGACTTGAATCCAAGACCCCAAGGTTAAGAGGCATATAATTTAACCATTGTGCTACTCGTACGGCTCCCCTTTTTTATTTTGTCTGGTTACCCAAAACATTGTTTTATCTGGTTGCCTAACCTAAGGTTTTTTTTCTTTTGATTGGATTTTACGTCACACTGACACAGTATAGGACATATTGGATTCAACGACCTTTACCACTCGGCCACGGACGCCCCTCAACACAAGAGAATCTGGTTACCTAACACATTGTTTTTATCTGGTTACACATATAAGGTTATCTGGTTACCTAACAAAATGTAACGTGGTTACTCAACATAATATTATAACACAACAACAAGGTTATCTGGTTACCTAACACAATGTATCCTGGTTAATTAAAATGCATGTATGAAAAAGATATAGTGATATACTGCCTTATACAATTAAAAGCGAATGGCACAGTTCATGCACGAACACATTGCTCAAGGATTATAAGCCTACTTAAAAAAGCAGAATATTATCTTATTTCGGACCAGTTATTATTCTTTCTACGTATAATATTCATTACTGTTAAATAACAGAGACATTCTATGTTTCCAACTTAATCGGGAATCGACCATGAGATTATGGAAAAAATTACCATTAATCTTATTAAAATATTTCATTAAATATAGCCTTATACTCTTTAATTATTTACCAGTATTCATAAAATAATGATGAAAGTTTATTGATATCAAATTTTTATCAATATACGCGACCTGCTTTGGTAGTGTATTTAAGCGATCGTATCTGTCTGTATCATTTATATAAACGGCGAAATCATTATAATAATATTGATAAGATTTTCTTATCAAACCAGAAATCTTTTATTATGACTTCAACCTTCATGTTCAAATGTATAAGTTAAATGATGTTTAAGCTGTTTCGGTACCTTAATGACACGCATGAATCATAATACTAAATTACGTTCATATTTATAATAATGCACATTTGTAACGTCGTTTTTCATTGGATAATCGTAACGTTAATTTGATCTATATATAGGCTGCAGTCGAATCATAAATTTCTTTCTTATAAAGAAAGTTTGCAGTATTATAAATTCGTTGTAAATATTCTTACCATGTTATATAGCCGTATATAAACGGTACTTTGCAATATGATTCCCGTCTTTCAGCTTGGGCTATAATTCTATACAAACAACCGTTTAAACAGGGGCATATAACTTGTCAAAAATCTTTACGACAAATAGTATAACTTTAACAATATTAAAGCTGTTTTAACACCGATTACGGTCTTTGTGGTTCAATTTTATTCTCTTCGTATTTGAAGTATGCAGTATTTATACGTTGGGCTTATTTACATCCACCTTTGGTGTACAATGTGATAATCAAAATATATACTATAAATATATTGGTCCAATATACGCAAAAAATGCAAATATAAAATGCTCCGTTTAACTAAATTAAAACCATTTTCTGGATGTAAGCTCTAAACAAAAACCTTTTATGAAAGCCCAAAACGGTAAATTGAAAAACATGACTGAAAGACAGTAAAGTAATCATATGTTATGGACAAATATCATCAGTGAATTTGATATTTTTGGCGCATGCGCAGATCAGATATGTTGTAAGGTAATTATCTAGGAGACCTCGCATCAGCGGTGTTATCTGTTTAGTTGTAGTAGAAAAAATGAGAATTATTTATAAAATATCATATGTAAAGAAATTGTGTTTGATAATTTGTTTTCTTGCTTGCTGTTACTTTACAGGACGCTTAACAAAAACACAGGTGTGTATAATTAACATAATTTAATTAAGTCAATGATGATTTTGATATCAGATTTTATATACATTGTATATAACAAATGTGTATATATTACATAATATTAAATTGCATGAAACATAGGTATGGAAATGATAAATAAGGAAACTGCAACTATGAATCATACTGATGCATTAGATATTTTCAAGTTCATTTATAAACAATAATTAAGACAATATACTGATATATTTTACATAACACCTAGTAATATATTTTACTATAACCTAATTATGTATTTTGCATGTAACCCAAAATTTTATATATTTTGCATAAAACCTAGTTATATATTTTACATATAATGTAATTACATACCGCACATGTAATGCTTCACCGAAGATGATCACATCACAAATTGAAACACTGGTAGATATACACGCGATATGATTTGGAGTTATTATACATAGTAAACAGTGCATTTTTATATGAAGAAAAATGTGAATTTTGTCTTCATAACCTTCTAACGTCATTTGCAATGTACCTCTACCCTGGCATGCACAGAAGTTAACAATTCTATGCAACTAGACAGCCGTCCAGGAACGATGCAGTGGCTGAAATGTGTTCTGGTGAATATTCAGTGTGGCTTACTGCTGTTATCCGGGGGGTAAACTATCAACACCACACAAATGGTGGGCAAAGTTGAGCAACGTGTACGGCAGCATTTGGAATAGAGACAACATACATTTCATTTAATGGTGGTATTTCGTAGTAAAAAATTGAACTGTCTTTTATGTGTGTTGAATTAAAATTGATTTATTTTGGTAAATATCGAAGTGACATGTGGTATTTTCTAGCAAAAACAACAACAAAAACAAAAACTGTTATGTGCTAAAGTGAGCAGTTTTGGTAAATATCGATGTGCCACGTGTTATTTCATACCAAATAAAAACGACAACAACAGCAAAAACGAATTGCATTGTTGTTGTTTATGTGTTAAAGTGAACAGTTAGGATTTAAAGGTACGTGCCACGTAGTATTTTATAGCAAAACAAAATCTTAGTTGTGGTTTATATGTTTTAAATGAACAATTTTGGTAAATATCGTCGTGCCACGTGGTATTGAATAACAAAAGCAAAATCTTAGTTGTGGTTTATATGTTTTAAATGAACAATTTTTGGTTAAAATCGTCGTGCAACGTGGTATTTCATAGCAAAAGAAAATCTTGTTTGTGGTTAATATGTTTTAAATGAACAATTTTTGGTTAAACTCGTCGTGCCACGTGGTATTTCATAGCAAAAGAAAATCTTGTTTGTGGTTAATATGTTTTAAATGAACAGTTTTGGTAAATATCGACGTGCCATGTTGTATTTCATAGCAAAAACAAAATTTTTAATGTGATTTGTATGCTTTAAATGATCAGTTTGAATTAAAAATCGTCCTGGTTAAATCTTATGAGGCAAGTAATCTTCATTCTAGTTCTTCATAAAAATCTCATATTTTCTTAACGTAAACGATTAAGTTTTTACTACAATACAGCATTAACATAAATAAAATAGACACAAATAAAACTATTAGAATATTTTGCTAAACATTATTGGTTATTTCAAAGTAATTACTACAGGATGCAGTACATATTAAAGTGGATAGCTCTACAAGTGGCACAATTTCCATAGAAAAGAACAATTTCAAATGTGGATAAAATATGGATAAAAAACGAAATAAAAATGTATCATCTAGATATTATTATAGAATATTTGTTGAAAAAAAGCTTTTTATAAGATTCTAAGAAATTAAATCGGTATGTTGTAATTAAGATTTTTACAACACTTGTGTGTCTTTTTGCGTTTATTTATACTCGCAACCGGTTGCCCATATGGGCGAGTCCTCCAGAAGAGTATTAGTCATTTTATTTTTTGAAGGATACTGCAATTACTAACAACACTTAAGTGAAATTTACATATGTATCACATGTAATTATGATTATATATATATATGCAAACCACCGTAAAAATAGGGCCGTATAGACTGTCAAAAATCTTTATAACAAACAATATAGACGCTTTTTTAAACTTTCATACTTATGAGGACTGATTTGATTGTTAGTTTCTTACTAAGGAAGGGCACTTAGATTCAGACTTAAACAAACAGTTTCATATGGGACTTATTTTGATATAAACACCTATGTTATAATAAAAACGATGTTATCTTCCTGAAGATACGCAGGGTTTTTATTATTTTAATTATTATAGTTTTCTTCACCTTCGTTTCTTTTGGCAGTTGTGTCGATTAACTTGAAACTGTAGACCATGTTAGAATATGATAACAATACAAGATAACAATGTAAGTTTTACATTGCCCAGGACTAAATTTGTAAGAAACATGTGCTACTTTATTTACTTAATTGTTTATCTTAACCACACATCCAGAATAACATAACACTGATGTCAACAAAACAGATAAATCTTTTCAATTCATTTCATATGTGGACTTTATCATCTTGATTAATGATTGCAGTTTCAGTTTCAGGTTAATTGGCTTATCGACATACACAATGCCTTTACAAATATAAAAAGGATAGCCAAGATATCACAAATACTTGAAAAGAATAGCATTTTGAAATACATTTAAGAATGACAGCATTGAAAAACATCAATATAAATAAAATAAAATAATTAATTAATTAATTAAAAAAAATAAATAAATAAATATAAATTAATAAATAGATAAATGAAATATAATAAATAAGAAAATTTAAAGTGATCTACGTAGATCAACACTGTCTTTAAAGAAAACATATATTAGACTTAAGAAGCAGTAACATTTGAAATGATCTTAGCTCTTGATTTCATAGCATGTGTGTGTGTGTAGTGTATGCTTAATGAGGGTCCATTCGCCCGTAAGGGCAAAAATGCAGCTTTCGCTTTCCAGTACGGACCCCGAACATGTCACCACTCATGTCTTTAAAGGGTTGATTTTGTAGCATAAATTGATGATAATTAACCTCCATGCAACATCCACAAAGTATTAGCCAAAGATATGAATTTTCAGCCAAAATTAGGTCACTGTACGGCGGTGAGACAGTAATCTGCGACAATATGAAAAAGTAGCCATTACAAGCGCAGTTGGTGCCAGCAAAAGGCCTGCCGTCCAAGCCGTCTATCCGTGCAATGGACCCTAGCACCTAATCCTCGTCGACTCAAAGCCTACCTTGTAGGACCACTCGCCTTGGCTTTAGTCATTATATCGGCAGCTGGTCTACATTACAAGTTCTTATTTTAACGCCATATCAAGCTTGCGTTACCCAGGGTTCGGGGCATGTGATACTCAGGGCGTTTTAAAACATAATTCAAACAGTGCGCCAACACATATGAAATAAAGATCACCCAGGGAATTGACTAATAAAAGACTGAATGAAAGGACCACGTGTCTTGTTATTTATTTTTTTTTTTTTTTTTTTTTTTTGAAACAGAAATATTATATATAGTTTAAATGCTCTTTTCGTCAGGTATTTGAAAATGGTGGACTTGGTTTCATGGACTTAAAGACTGGGAGGACAAGAGATGTATAAGGTATATAATTTATCAAATATTAATTTCAGGTATCATCAAAGACATAAATTGAATGGCCATATACTATTTCCTTTTTAGTATTGGATGTCTCTTTCAGAAAAGTTGGTACACATTTAACGCAGCGTTAGTCGGTCAAATTCGGCGCCAAGCCGGTGCTATTGAGCATGAGCAATGTTGCCTTTTTTCTTTATCGTTTATGTACTTACTCAATCAAACAGAGCTGCAAATTTTATGTTATTTTGTTGTGAATAATGCATAAGAAGTATCACCATTTTTCTAGATTTTTTATACCAGGGAAGTCGCCGACAGTTGTTGATCAATAAACTCGTGTTTTGTTGTTCTTATGGTGGTTAAACGTTTTGAATGTTTGGGATCTTTTTTGCATTATTGTTGTTGTTTCCATTATGTCTTAATAACATTTATTGACAAATGCAAACCGCCTAAAGTTAAAAAATATGGAAATGTATCAAAATGTCGCACTTGCAGTGAAATGAATGCCGGTACATTCAATAAATGCTGCCTTTACTTATAAATAAAAATTTACTTGCATATAATTATACTTACATGATTATTTCATATACTTTTCCAAGTTAACATGCTTAAATTACAATAATCTTATTTTTAGTTTTTCAGAACCGGTTGATATTGTTTTTACATGGGTGAATGGAAGCGATCCAAAACTAATCGACACAATGTTACATTATTTACCTGAGTACGTAAACCTTAATTTTTGCCTTTGATATAACATTATTTACGATGTCTTTATTCATTTTTTTTTTCGTTTTTGTTGTTGTTGAATCTAAGATACTGAAAGTACTACATAGTTATGTAGAAATGATCATTCATAACCAAAAATTCATGTTAGATAAAAAAAATTCGCTAAAAGAGAATCAACATGTTCATTGTAGCAGTTTTTAACGATTTTATTACATTTTATGGTTGTTTTTATTGTTATCATTATCATTTTCATTATCATTTTCATTATTATCATTATTAATTTATTATAATTGTTATAAGTATTTAAATATTGTTTTTGTTGTTGTTTTGTTGTTGTTGTTATTATTATTATTATTTTCTATTTTTATTATATTTTTATTTATTTCATTTTAAACTTTTCTTTCTTTTTTTTATTTATTTATGTTTTATAAATATCTTTACTTTAAGAGGAACCGAGTTAACAGCAAAACGATTCCGTGATTGGGGAAATTTGAGATATGCTTTACGATCAGTAGAGAGTTATGCCGACTGGATCAACCATGTCTTTATTGTAACAAATGGCCAGGTACCAAGCTGGTTAAACACCGGGTACCATAAAGTCTCCATTGTGAAACATTCGGTAAGACGATTTACTGCAAATTTTCCGCATATTTAAAAATGTTCCTTAATTCAATTTCGGTTAAAACTTTATGCTTAAAGGGACTCCACTCCATGTTAAATGGAAAAGTGTTATAGGTACAATTTGAAAGTAAAACATGTTTTACGCCCACTGCCCACAAGTTTGATATTTAATCATCGCTATATTTGTTTACGGCGTTAGCACGGGATGGAACCCCATATGTATCTCAAAAATGAGCATCGGTAAAATTTATAAGTGAATTTCCGCTGCACCAGATGTGAAGCATAATAGATACTTAGAATTGTTAACGGCACATTATGCCTCAGAAAAAATACATATTCACTTATTTGGAAAGAGAAAAAAATAATTTTTGTATGTTAAATTAATGGTTTTATAGAATGTTAGATGTTTTTCACCTGGAGAAGTAGTATTTTGATGCCATACGTTACAAAATACTAATTGACTTATTAACCGATGTTTTTGACAAACAGCAATAAATGAAGAAAGATGAATATGAGTAACTGTTTGGATACTAAAAATGTGTACCAAAATAAGAAAGCTTTTAAAAATAAGCACAATATGCCTTTACGATTAATAGTTTGATAATTTATCAGAAAAAAAAGATCGCGGAATTCAGCAACATCTTTTAATTAATAACAGAAATATTTCGAAATATGAATATATTTAATGTTTTTAAATACAATTTTTTCCATGTCGTTCCCAATACAGCTCATAAGTGATATAATTGGAGGGAATATGAGCGTCATCCTTTTCAAAAATGGGCATTGTCTTGTATTGTGGTTTGTTTTTAAAGTTTTTGTAACGTTCGACATTCTTACCATCGACTTCTATTTTGCAGGATATTTTTCGAAATTTAAGCCATTTACCAACGTTTAATGCCCAGGCTATCGAGACCCATATTCACCGTATACCTGGCTTGTCGAAGAGCTTTCTTTACATGAACGATGACTTTTTCTTTGCCCAAACAGTTGAACTCGAAGATTTTTATTCCAAAGAAACAGGTTTTAAAGTAAGTTCTTTTTTTCCGTCAGACCTTTATAGCTCTATTTTAAAAATACTGAAAGTGGACCTATTGTCATAGCCCTCTCGTCGACTGGGATTTATTAACATTTGGTTATTCCACAGAAACTGTGAGAGAATCCTTTCTACTTGTATATGCCATAACAGATGCTAATGACGTCATAAATTGCATACACGTTGTTATTTTAGCTGTACGTGTATTGCCAAAGCATGACTTGCTTTCAAGATGCTGTAACATAAACGTAACTAAAGATCCAACTGAATATAAGCCGTGCATACATTTCTATAAAGTGTTAATAAGATTCTTTTAATGTTTCAATAAAAAAAAACGAGACAAACAAAACTTTGATAATCATGGACTTAAAACTTAGTTTGTGAGTTTGTGCAAACATATTTATAACATTTTACAATCTATTCTTTAATAAAAGAACAAAAACCAGTCAAGAAGATGCATTGTTTTGATGAAAGACAAGAACAAGAAAATTTTATATTATTTGTTATATTATTGGAGAAGGTTTACCCGGTTCGCTGCGAAAATGAATCTTGGCTCGCTAAAGCTCGCTAAAGCTTGCAAAGATACACTTTCTCAGTTCTCTTTCACCGTATAAACCTTTTCCATCCCGACATCAACAATGTTTTCTCTATATTTGTATATAATAGTGAAACAATTTGCTACTGATAACCTTAAGGTTAATTTTCGAAAGAGTTGTTACATTGTTACATTGCATGTACATGTATATGCTATTTGACATACATGAATATCTTATGTAAACGTGGGACAAAAAGCTCTGTTGTAATATTTAACATTCAAGCAAGCTGTTGAATGATTTTGTTTTGACAGGGTTTCAGTATAGTAAATATAACTATACATTTTTAAACATAATTAATACAGCCTATTCCTTAACCGGTCAACAGATTAGATTTGGTGCTGAAAGAGTTCCTGAATACATTGACAAGTGTAACAAATTGACTGAACACCTAGATGATATTGAGGTTGTTGGAACACAGTGTGATAACAGCGATTGTGAATGGGATGGACAAAAATGTATCACTGCCAAGCAGTCAACGATCGCATTAGCTTCACGTTACGGTTCATTTTTTGGAAGTCTTTTTTATACGTCATTAACATATTATAGAGCATTTGGGCATGCGCAAAGAGGTGTGCCCGCGCATGCGCCATATATCATTGACATAGATGTAATGAACGCTCTGCAGGACAGGTAAATTGACAAATACATGACGTTAAACGAAGGCTGTTAGAAAAATTCGTGTAATTTTGTCATAATTATTAGCAAAGCTATTTAGAAATAGTCCTTCAGCTATGCTTGTTATTCATTTAATATTATTTTATTTAAATTTATGTTACAATCTTCTTGCATTACATGCTTTGGCATTATAACAAAAGTATTGCAGACAATGGAAACATATCGTTAGTATTTTTGTAAACAGTATAGCTGACACATGTTACAAAACAGTTTGGTAAACAAAGCTTTACGATGATTTGGTCGTTTGTGCAAAACAACCTTAACAATTTTGGGCAAACAAATGATTGAGGCAAATGTCAGTACCTAGATATGAATATTTATGACAGTTAATCTCGCTAAACCTGCAAAATTCTTAAAATTAATTTTCCTTTATTTATTTTTTTGAATAAAAACAGTCCATTCGAAAGGGATTTCAGTACGTATATACGTATATGCTTAGTTACAAACATTGTAGAGCCTTGTCAGTCTGCACTGATGTATAAACTGGCCTGGGTCTATACTGGTTGCACCGGCTGATCAGACTCAAAATGGTAATGGCATGAATCCATTATTTAACACACTGTTTTATTTTCAAAGATTTTCAGAAGAATGGGAAAGGACGTCAAAGAACAGGTTTCGTGATCCAATCTGTTTCCAATACAGTTTTGCATATTATCATTTTCTTATACACTCTCAACAACAGAACATGTGTCAGGGAGCAGGTGCACAGCCAATGTAAGTAAAATATACAAATATAGGGAAAGACAACAGAACATGTTCAGGGAGAAAGTACATAGCCAATGTAAGTAAAAGATACAAATGTAGGGATAGGCAACAGAACATGTTCAGGGAGAAGGTACACAGCCAATGTAAGTGAAAGATACAAATGTCGGGATAGTTAATTGTATCCGTAATACATTTTTGTCAAAAGTGAAATAATAAGGCAAGTAAGACAGGAAAGAGTTTTCATGCAAGCTGCTATGTTACAACATAGATACTCAATCCTGAATGCATTGTTATTCGAATTGTAGTAGTATACACAATAATGATTTAGAATAGTATTTAAAGTTATTGAAAGTTATATGGATGTAAAGGAACGTTTGTTTATAAATAGCTTTAATTACGTTTTAACATGTTCCAGAATTTGTATATAGATCGGTACACAAGAATAAATAGTCATCTCCAGGAAGTTTTGTGTTTGTGAATTATTTTTTAAGCTTGTGATTTTTTAAGGTTAATTTGTATATTTTCTAAATTAACATCAACTCTTTTAGTGATTTGTTAGCTTTAATTGGAACTTTTTTTTTTAAAAAGTCTTATTACCTTTAGTTAACTTTGGTTTTCGATCGATCGGTATTTAGACTTTTTACTGTTTTGTCGTGACCTGTGATAAACGTATTGTTTTATAGACGTTTGAATAATATTGAAGGAAAATTTTCTAATATTTCGAAACGACTGTTGTCAGTTTTGTATATGTATATAATTCACGTTTTGACAAAGCGCACATTTTACGGATGAGAATGTAATTTTAATGAAGATATGTTTTAGCAAACATAGGCATCGTATTGTTTATTTTATTCATTTTTCTCATTATATTTTACAGAGCAACGAACCTTTACCATTACACAGACTATGCATATTTTGCAACTGGTAATTCTACTAAATTGGAGAAGGTTTTAACAAGCTTTTTGCGAAAAAAGAACAAGTATGTATTTACCGGTGCTGGTGAGGGGGCGGAGTGAGAGATAAACACTGTTATCCTTAATGAACAGACTCAATCAGACCGAGTCTGTACTTCTAGCATTTTTATTTTTTCCATGGTTTTTGAAAGAGCCTGCCATTTTCTGTTTAACAAGACCAAGTCTGTAATTTTCACATTTTTCAGTGTTCCATGGCTCATTGGAACCTGCCCTTTTCAATATTTTGTTTACATTGTAATCTTTATATTAACACATTTTAAAATTACAATTTATATTTATTCATTAACCATTAAGACGTATAGTACGTTATTCATTAAGTATATTGTAGTATTCAGTAGTTTCGTATTCTAATATAAAAACGTTGATGTTTTTGAAAAAAGTATCTACTCTAGAGTGATAAGCAATAAAACCATTTGCCTAAAATGATGTATAAATTAAAATCATTTTAATGATGTAATTCATTATCCACCAAAAAATGTATAAACATATTTGTTGTAAATCCGACAAATGTGACTGAATTGTGTAAAAAAATGATCTATTTAAACTTTAACTAGCCAAGTCAAGAAAATACGCGTATCAAGTAAATAACCTACATACGAAACACTTTGAGCTGGCTACTATTGATCTTTTTTTATTCATTATTAATCTTATTTATTAATATTATTTTTTTTTATTTTCAGAAAATTCGTTTGCTTAAATGATCACATGGGTAACAAATATAGTGACGCTGAGATTGCACGTAATGGTGACGTCATAGCAAAGTTCTTCCAAGAATATTTTCCAGAACGTTCAAAATTCGAAATAAACTGAAAACAAAATTAATGTATCATTTTATTACTCAGTCAAGAATCATTGATTTTCATTGGATTGTGAAATATTGGTCAATGCCCTAGTATGTTAGCAAGCTAGATAAAAAAAATATGCATGTAATCATTGGATTTATGAATTCAATGTTTAGGTTATAGGTCATATACATTAGAATTATTTACAAATTAAGTGCAAGGGATCGTTAGTATCGACATATTTCACTTAATAGATATTGTTGCACAATGTCAAAATATACAGATAAGTGGAGTAAAAGTTTGATAGTCCCTCGATGATGATTGGATGAAACGCACAGGAAGGGGCAGGGTGGACTATGAAGAAATTCACTCTGAACTTATCCAAATTATCATAATGATTAGTCTCTCTGTTTGTATTAGTGCATTGCTTGTAGTGTTGAATCTTGAAATATGAATAAGATGTTGTCCTATTTTTTATCCAATGAGAATTTTAGATTGCTATACTTTGAAAAAGCGTAACTTCAAAACATGATAATTTGTCAATATGTAACATTTTGTACGATTAAGGGCCTGGACTATAGTCATTATTCGACTTCCTCTCATAACAATTAAAACTGAAGGGTTCTAAATTTAATTAGGTGCAAACAGAGTTTCAATCTCTTAAGATGAAGTAATAGGAGTAAGGATCTAAGGACCTGATGTTGTTGACTTCTATCTGTGTGTTGGGGAGGGGGCAAGTCAATGAAATACTGTTAAGGGCCATTTAGTGTATTTTCAGCTTTATTGGCGGAGGAAGACTTCGGTTGCCCCTCTGTGCATAATTAAATGCACAAGCGGACACCTCTGATTTCATCCAGACATATGCAAATTAATGGGCTGAATAGTGACCTTCTATAAGCTAATCATATAGCTTCCTCGTACAAGGGATCTTTCTTTAGTTATCTCTAGATTTACAAATTATGGAATCTGTCTGTTACAATGCAAGTCAAAGTACTGGAATGATATATATTTTCACCTCATATTTCAAATGCTATATAAAGCAAACAATTGATAACATATTCTTGTCGACCGATCTTCTCTGACAAACCAGAACTGTATTCCACAAAAAATATTTCAAACTAAAACTGGCTATAAGCAGATGAATATTTTTATATTTTAAAGTACAAGACATGACTGTGATGTCTGGAATAGTCTTCCCCTCTCGCTGTCATGTAACCGCTAACGCCGCTCTTAACGCATCCACTGCACCTTCCCAAATCATTGGCTATACATAACACTTGTTCAATTATACTGCAACCATTGTTTAATCCAAATGAATATGAACTGGTACTTGATCACCGACAGTAAATGAATGATGCACAATGATAAATTTTATCATACTTCTTTGATAAAGTACACTAGAACCATATTTACTCGATAACAAGCAAACCTCTTACAAGTCAGGGTGTTAATTTTACACTAAAATCAGCAGTCTTTGCTTCAAATAAACTAAAAAGCATGTTGTGTTTCTAAAATATTTGTTATTTACAAAACGTGTTGACAAAAGAAATAAGCTAATGAACTTACCTTTAGACCCTTAACTGCTGTGAAAATACAATAAAAGAACTGATGCATTTAATGAAAGAAAAATGTGGGAGCGTTAACAGCTAACTCCTTCATACACAACACGTGACATCACAATAAAACCAATTTATCTAAATTTTAAATATATGCTTGTCTCTTTATCTGGTTTAATGCTGATTTCATTAACGCTTTTTTGGTGGTAACTCAACTGTTGGTCCACTTAATCAGTTTCCTAGATAACTAACCAGTATTTTCCAATGTTTGCAAAAGTGAAAAAACTACTACTCCAACAAATAGGGGGCTAGAGACAAATACCTATTTGAATCAATGTCTTCAGCTAATTATCACGGAGAGGATCAAAACAGTGACCTCTGGGTAACAAATGAAATTCTCCGAGACTCGTTTTTTGAACTGAATGGACAAAAGTGGTAGTTATATGTACTTTTCATTTCTTGTTGAACCCTCTGTATGCCATTGAATTCACAAAGGGCACCTGAGTAGGTCTACCTACATTCTATAGGCTAGCTGTATAGTTTTTTCACATCATCATGTAGATTCTGATGATGATTTTGCGGCTTGAACCTACAGCGGTGAGGAGTTTGAAGTCAACGACCTTAACCACTTGCCACGAATGACTAATCTCTCCTGCAAACATACTTTATATTTTCAGGTTCAAAACATATTTAAGGCTTTAAATCAAACTAAATAAAATCTTCTATGAAAAATTAAGAAATGTTTAAACCAATTTACAGCAGCAAGTCGTTTCCGTATCCGTTAATAACTATTAAAAAGGCCTATCACGTTGGGTTGTGGTCAGCCTAACAGTATTCCCTATGGCTAAAATCGAGCTTGGTTTGCCGTTAACAAGAAGTGTAAATCACTTTATAATTGCGTGATCTTTATTTCGCGAAAACACAATTCCCAAATTATTTAGCGGATTCATGAATTCGCGAGGGCAGGGTCAGAATTTTAAATTCAAGACGTTTTGTTGTTGTTTTCTCCACTGTATAGCAGGATAGAATGTCTCAGTTAGTTACGTTTATTGCTATACTGTGCCCAGCTTATTCACGGTAAATAAACCTTTTTATGTTTTCCATTAAGTGACAGTTTTTTATTCCATATACCAACATAGTTTTTTTTATAAAAAAGGCTTTTGTGTAATCCTTTGCCATACATGGTTTGTTAATATAGTATTTGATAAAACGTTAGATGTTTGTAACAAAGATCTTGTTTACTTGTTTATAATACTTGAACTTAATTGTGAAAATTGTCCGTTGATCACAGTTCTGTCGTTTGATACTGTGTCATTATCTAAACAATATGTGTTCACATTAAAGTAAAGTGCATTTTTATTGAAATTGTCGGAAAATTATGTTCTGACTTTGTGATTACGATATTTACATGAGGGAATAAAAGAATTAGAAAATTTGATAGTAAACCTTCTTTTACTTTTACCTTTGTTGCTTGGTCGTGCGGGGACTGCGTTCATTGAACGTCGCCTTTCCTTGATGATCTTGTTTATCATATATTTTGTACATTCATTATTATGTAAATTAAACATTGTACATTGTTAACCTTAATTATTATAAAATAAGGTATTGTATTCAGTATCAAACTTGATAACAATTTGAAGATTTCTGTATCAGATATAGATTTGTATAATAAAATCTACGCGGTATCATGAATTCGCGACGCAACAGATTGGCGAATAAAAGCGAAAATTAAAACCTCGTGTAAAATACCGAATTTATCGTACTTGAAAGGCCTTTCACCGTGGGTTTTGTCAGATTGCATGTTTTTCCACAGGTTAGGATAGAGCTTGGTTTTCCGTTAATATCAAATAGACAGACCTATCATCGTGGGTTTGGTCATCTTGAATATATCCCCTTATGCTAGATTCGGGCTTGGTTTTCTATTAATATCAAGTAGACAGCCCTATCAGCTTGGGTTTGGTCATCTTATCCCTAATGCTAGATAAGGTGCTTGGTTATCCGTTGAATTTTACTAGAAAGCCAAATCACCCTAGGTTTGGTTAGCGTAACTGTATTCCCTGAGTTAAGAACTGGAGTTTGTTTTCCGTATAAACCTACTTAAAATCCCTATCACCATGGGTTTGGTGAGCTCGAATTCATTCCCTGAGGTCAGAACTGGCATTGGCTTTCCGTTGAAATCTACTACAAAAGCTTATCACCGTGGGTTTGGTAAGCTTGTATTAACTATTAAGACAAGAACTGGGCTGGGTTTTCCGTTAATAACTACTAGAAAGTCCCATCACCGTGGTTTGGTCAGCTTGAGTCTATTCCTTTGGGTTAAAATATGATAAACAAGATCAACAATGAAAGGCGGCGATCATTGAACGACCCATCAACAAGTACCAGTGACAAGGAGCTCAGGAGGACCCCAAACAAAACCAGGACAGGGCACAAGGCAGAGCACGGACAGACTAATCACTAAAATGATACGTAAGAAGAAATAGTCTGTATCTGATAAGGAATTCAAAAAAAACAAATAAATGATTGAATAATAGGCCAACAAAGTCAAAGGGCACAGAGGAAGGGGATAGGAGATTCGAGGAAGCGGGATGTAAATTAAAACTGGGCTTGATTTTCCATTGAAATCTACTTGAAGGTCTACTAAAGAATCTACTAGAAATCTCCGTTAGAACTGGCGTTAGTTTTCCGTTGAAATCTACTAGAAATGCCTTTCACCATGGGTTTGATGAGCTTGACTGTATTTCCTGAGGCAAGATCTGGGCTAGGTTTTCCGTTATTTACTTCTAGAAAGGCCTATAAACGTTAATTTGGGCAGCTTACCTGTAATCCCCGAGGCTAGAACCTGACATGGTTGTCCGTTAATAACTGCTAAAAGGGCCTGTCACCGTGGGTTATTCCCTGAGGCTAGAAGCGGGCTAGGTTTTCATTGAAATCTACTAGAAAGCACTATCCTCTTGGGTTTGATCAGTTTCACTTTAATTTCTGAGGCTAGAACCGGGTAAAGATTTCCGTTTAGAACTACTAAGGAGGTCTATCAACGTGGGTTTGGTCAGCTTGAATGAATGAAATCCTTGAGAGAAGAACCGGGCTGGGTTTTCCGTTTATTACAACTAGAAAGCCGTATTACCGTCGGTTTATTCATTCTTTATTGAGGTTAGAACTGGGCTTTGTTTTCCGTTGAAATCTATAAGAAAGTCTTACACCGTGGGTTTTGTCAGTTTGACTTTATTTCCTGAGTCTAGAATTGGCAATGGATTTTCTTTCAAAACTACTAAAAAGGCCTATCACCGTGGGTTTGGTCATTATTACTATAATCCTTGAGTCTAGATAGAACCAGGCTTAATTATACGTGAATAACTACTAAAAACGCCTATCATCTTTGGTTTGGATAGTTTGACTTTATTCCCTGAGGCAAGAACCGGGCCTTGTCTTCCGTAAATATATACCAGAAAATAGTATCACTGTCGGTTTGTTCAGCTTGATCAGGATCAGGATCAGATCAGGACACTACTAGAAAGGTTTATCACCGTGGATTTGGTCAGCTTGACTGTATTTCCTGATGTTATCACCAGATTTGTTTTTTTCCGTTAGGATCTAATAATTTTTTATTACTTAAGCAGATTGTCATGGGTCGTGTGAGAGTTGCGTTCATTCTGCGTCGAATTTCCTTGTTGATCTTGTTCATCATATTGATTGTATTATCTAAAGCTAGAACCGGGCTTGGTTTTATGTTAAGATCGACCAGAAAGACCGTGAGTTTGGTCAGCTTGACGGTATTCCCCGAGGCTAGAACCGAATTTGATTGTCCGTAAAGATCTTTAGGATAGCCTGTTTACCGTGGGTTATGTTAGCTTGGTTGTATCCCTTGACACAAACACCGAGCTACGTTTTCCATTTAGAAATAATGGAAAGGTCTATCACTGTTGACTACATCCCTGAGGCTAGAACCGGGTTTTAATTTCCGTTACAAATTGCATTGTAATAGAAAAGCCAGTCAGTTTGACTTTATTCCCTGACGCTAGAACAGGAATGAAT